CTTTGTACTTATTTTACGCTTGTCAGCTGGTCTAGGATGTCCTTGATGACTTTGATCTTATCGGGATTTACCTCGATCCCCCTTTGTGAAACCAAGAAACCCAAGAACTTACCGGAGCTAACCCCGAACGCGGATTTTTTCGGGTTGAGCTTCATGTTGTGCTTCCTCATGATATCGAAGGTTTCTTGAAGGTGCTTTAAATGATCACCTACACTCAAAGACTTGACCAACATGTCATCTATATACACTTTCATAGTTTTACCTATTTGCTTCTCGAATATCTTGTTCACGAGCCTCTGCTAAGTGGATCCTATGTTTTTAAGCCCGAAGGGCATCACATTATAACAATATGTGCCAAAGTTCGTAATGAACAAAGTTTTTTCCTGATCCTCCGGGTTCATCTTAATTTGATTGTACTCAGAATAGGCATTGAGGAAACTCATTAACTCGTGCCCGACCATTGCATCAATTATTTGATCAATATTTGGCAGTTGGAATGAGTCTTTGAGGCATACCTTATTCAAGTCTTTATAATCTACGCATATTCGAAACTTGTTATTCTTTTTTGGAACTACAACTACATTAGCTAAGCATTCGGGATACTTTACCTCCCGGATTGAACCAATATCAAGTAGTCGAGTTACCTCTTCCTTAACAAATCTACCTCGGCTATTGGGCATTTCTTTTGCCTTATCGAAAGGAAGCTCGGGTCCAAGCTTAGCTTGTGCACGACCACCTCTAGTGGGATACCTATCATGTTTGAGTGCGACCATGCAATACAATTAACGTTAGCTTTAAGGAAATTAATAAATCCTGAGATGAGTTCGGCACTGAGTCTGTTCCCAAGTGAAACTTCCTTTCCAAGAATTCTTCGAACAAAGTCACTTGCTTGAGTTCTTCTTCCATGGATTTAGTCACATCTGTCTCTTCCACTACTTGGAAGTATCTCTGTACTGGTGCAGTTTCGATAGCTCCTCGCCTTTATTATCTTCACTCGGCTTGAGAGTAGGCGTGGGTTCTTGTAATTGTTATTTGCTAGGTTCCTTCCCTTTATTGCTGGAAATTGACACTGCGTTCATTTCTCTTGCTGCCGGTTGATCTCCTCTTATTTGCCTGATTTCCTCTAGGGTGGGAAATTTAAGCAGTTGGTGATACGTTAATGGTACGACCTTCATCTCATGTAACCATGGCCTAACGAGAATTATGTTGTAGTCTATGTCGTCGTCCACCACTTCAAATAAGGTGGTCTTTGTTACCCCTTCGGCATTTGTAGTCAGCAAGATCTCTCCTCAGGTTGTCACACTTGCCAGGTTGAACCCAGCGATGAGCTTTGTTGTTGGAATGATACTTCCGATTAATTTGGCTTGTTCCAGCACTCTTCATTGAATGATGTTGGCTGAGCTTCCTGGGTCAACCAAACCACCTTCAATCTTGAAATCTAGAACATTAAGAGAGATTACCATGGAGTCATTATTCGATAGAAGATGTCCGTAAATGTCTTCCTCGGCGAAGGTGATATAATCTTTGGCGACTTCCCGGAGTCTCTTACTGTGGGTCACCAATACCTTTGTCTTTTTGGCTACCGAGAAGGTTACACCATTGATTTCATTCCCTTTGAAAATCATGTATATAGTCAACCGATGAGAGTCTTATTCTATCTTCAAGGGTTCTATGTTGTCTCAGTTGCGGCCGTAATTGTTCTTGCCCGGTCACTCAAGAATTCCTTGAGATGTACATTTTTTAATAGTGTCGCCACCTCCTCGTGCAAATGCCGGCAGTCCCCAGTTCTGTGCCCGTGAGTCCCATGATACTCGCACCATAGGTTGTGATCCCTCTGGTTGGGATCAGATTTGATTGGCTTTGGGAATCTTGCTTCTTTGATATTCATCATCGCCGACACTGGCTTCACTACGATGATGTTGAAATTGTAATTTGATAATATGGGATATGTAGAATCTCGGGTTCTCGGTTTCTCTTTTTCTTGCAACGATCTGTTGTTCCGGCCACAGTCGGTTCTTTTGTTCGGAGTAAAACTATTCGAGGATCGGAACCCTTTGCTGCTGCATCCTCGGCTCCTTTGTAAGGCAAGAAACAACCTTTAGAAGATCGCCGGTATGCATCAAAATCGCCTTTGAATTTATCCTGGTTCTCATCTCGGTCCTGCCCCTTGGTTGATGTCGGAAACCGAGCTGATCATCTTCTATCCTTATTTTTGACTCATAACAGTTATGACCATCCGCCTATGTGATCACCTGGAACTCGAGCAGGCTTTCCTTCAGCTTTCGAGAGGCTTCAGAGCTCCTCGGGTTCAAACTTTTAGTAAATACATCAGCCGCCCATTCGTCTGGTACGACCGGTAATAACATCCTTTCTTTTTGGAATCTGATCATGAACTCCCGTAGCAATATAGTCTCTCCTTGTGCGATTTTGAATATGTCCGCCTTCTTGGCCTGGACCTTTCTGGCCTCGGCATGGGCCTTAATGAATGAATTTGCGAGCATTTTAAAAGAATCTATTGAGTATTCCGGTAAGAGTGAATACCATGTCAAGGCCCTCTTCGTGAGGGTTTCTCCAACATTTTTCAGCAGAACCAACTTGATCTCATGTTGAGCAAAGTCTTTCCCTTTCGCCACCGTTGTATAAGTTGTGATGTGCTCTTGAGGATCTGAAGTGCCATCGTATTTTGTTATATCCAACATCTTGAATCTCTTTGGGATTAACTTCGGTGCTGCGCTCGATTTAAATAGCAACTGAGTATATTTTTTCGAATCCGGGCCCTTCAAAACTAGTGGTATGCTCGAAATCTTGTCCATTCGGGCATGAAACTCCTTCGCATTCTGATCTATCCGCTCTTTCATCTCGCTCATGAATCTCATGAGTTCGATTTTGAAGGGATCATTACCGTTGTCATTACCAGACCCGCTACCGGCCCCCCAGCATCGTTGAAACCGACCTCACCCCTTGGGGTGTTGTTAGCAACTCTTTGAGCCGTTTGATTTGCAGGAGTGCTGGGAGGAACCAGACCTCTCTCGTTTGTGTTATTGGCAGCGCCTGATAACACTTGTTTTAATTCCGTCATGACTTGATCCTTCCTTGAGAGGTGGCCTATGATGGCGTTCTGTTGCTCTCTCAAGATCCTTACTATTTTCGTGATGTGCTCGTCTGCTGCGTCATTGGGAGTTGGCTCCCGTACATGCCGCAGGTATTGTCCTCCATGGATCGGGGTTGCTTCGTCCCCCTTCATTGCGGATATCGCTGATTGAATTTTCGTGCTGAGGAGATTTTCATGTGCCTCAACGTTGTGTGCGATGTTGACATCGTTAGCTATCATTTTTTATTTTTTGCTAAGAAACAAAGAATCAAACAAGTTAGCAATAAACATAAGGATCAACTCAATTACGCAATTGTCTATGCACCATAGTGGGCGCCAAACTGTTTATCCATAAAATGGTACAATTGAATTTGTTACGTGGTTCATAGACAAGCGAACTGATTTGATCCAAAAATGATAAATAGACTAGATTAAAAATAAGACTTAGTGTTAAAATCAAAGGAAATGGCAGGCTTGGCTCCGGGAGCGATGCTTCCGAGGACAGAAATAAGAACAATATGCAAAAACAAATAAAGTTATCTTATTTAGCTTGAGAATAGAATGTAACATAAGTTTTGCCAATACTTTCGTGTCCCCACGATGGTTGTTGAAATTACTATTTATAGCTATATGTCACGTCCTTAGTCTTAAACTAAGTGCACGTGCGGCACTTGGCAACTCACTCACGATCTTGCATAACTTGCTCACATTCTTGCTATGCCAAGTCAACTCTACTACACTCATGATCGCTAAGAAATGTTAGAACACATGAGAATTGCCAAAGGATGCTTTTGTATTAGAGAGAACTTGATTGGTTTGCTTGGTTGATGAATTACAAATGAATGCCCCCTATTTATATTAATCACCTAGGGGCTAGTATGTAAATAATAATTGTTCTATAAGTCCTTCCGTATTTACAAATAAGTCCTTCTCTAACAAATAATAATTTTATAGGGTTCTAGGGTCTTCCTAAGGAAACATCTATATTTCTCTAGAACCTTCCTACAAGTGCATAAATATCTAGAACATTTCCAAGGAAATTCTCCATAGTTCTAGAATATTCCGCCAAAATCTAGCCCCCTAACTTATGTAACCCTTCCATATGGCAAAAATATATGCCAAGTGACACCTATGTGGCATGATGGTGTGGCGGGTCATGACATATACCTAGAAAACAAGATCCTAGGATCAAACCCCTCTTAAGTGATAATAAATGGGGCTATTGATGAATATGTAACGACATGCCATGAATGCCAAAATTCTCTGCAACGACTGCCTGTTTAATACTGGGGAATATTCTTCATTAAATGTCATCTGGTGACAAACATTCAACTCACTCACGTTGATTATGCTCCCTTCGGGGTCTATCTGATTCCAACTGCAACTGTTGTTCCCGGTCTTAGTTCTTACTCAACTTATTTTCCGCCTGTCTCCGGTTTCACGTATCACGCTATCATTCGATCATTTACTATAAACCAATTTTACCCCATATAATAATATAAAGATGATAAATGTATATGAACAGGTAGTCCTTTAGAGAAACAGGTATTTTACTAAGATTGTCGTATCTCTAATACAGTCCTACACTCCTACATTACACTCTATAGATCATTGGTGGGAGTGGGATTGAACCGATTAGTGCCAACTGCCAAACTACCAGCACAAAATGTTTAATACAATTAGCCAACAAAAAATGAGCTATTTTTACTCTGCATTCAGAATCCAAAAATGACGATGTAATTTTATGATTCAAACTTAAATAGAAAGTATTTTGCATTTTGAAAACTTAATTCTAATTTCTAAACATACCCCCCCCCCCCCCCTTTCCCCCTCCCAAAAGAAAAAAAATCACATTTGCCCAAATACATAAATATGTGCAAAATTGGGGGCTTAACTTGGAAGAGAACTCTTCTGCTTTCCGCTGCCGTTTTGCCTTTTCCCCTAAACAAAACCTCGAGGAACTTACCAGAAGCACAGACGAAATAGAAGCAAATACTTTTCAGTACGATAGAGATGTCGAAAACACTGGTACAGCCGATAGGCCAAAAGCGACTTACGAATGTCGCCGTTGTGCGTCTCAAGAAGCACGGTAATCGGTTTGAAATCGCCTGTTATAAGAATAAAGTCCTCTCATGGCGTTCTGGCGTGTAAGTTTTCTTTTTTCCTCTTTCTTTTTAAGACCTCGTTTCATTGAATTTGTGCAAATAAAGTTTGTATGTTTAGAAAAAAAAAATAGAATTATTATAACGAATATGGAATTTTTTTTTGTGGTGTAGAGAGAAAGACTTGGATGAAGTGTTGCAGTCACAAACTGTATACTCAAATGTGTCTAAGGGTGTACTTGCTAAGTCTAAAGATTTGATTGCTGCTTTTGGAACTGATGATCAGTCCAAAATCTGCCTGGAGGTTTGTATTTTTCCATTTTTTTCTAAACATATAATGAAGGTAGCTGGTTTAATCATGCCTAACGTGTAAATTGCTTAAATAACTTGCACTAAATAGCATGATTATTTTCCCTAGAACACTGAAAGTACTTATTCATGTAAACTGATTGGTGTGTCACAAACTTCAGAACTTGCAATCGCTTACACTAAGGATAGTCAAAATATAAAGAAATAAACTCATGAATAAGCCAAGGGGATTCAACATATAGTATGTATAAATAAAAAGTCTTTGGACCCTAGGCTGTAATTTCCAGCAATGGGGTCAATTGACCCTCCTTGGACGAGGGTAGCTCCGTCGCTGCTTGTGATTTGTCGGATATAGAAAGGACCCTTCCTATGGTTTAATCATTTAAACTGTTCTTACACATTATTAGATACATCACTCAAGCTGTTATGGATTATCCATTAAGTTGTTTGAGCATATCTAGTAACGTGAGCTGCTTAAATAAGTGCCACTAATAGCCCGTTTGGCCAAGCTGCAAAAATCAGCTTATTTTGAGAAGTGCTTTTTTTCAAAAGTGCTTTTCTCAAAAGTACTTTTGGTGAGAAGTAGTTTGTGTTTGGCTAATTAGTTTGAAAAACACTTCTGAGCAGCAATTAGTGTTTGACCAAGTTTTAGAAAACTGCTTCTAAGTGTATTTTTCTCAAAACTTCTTCTCAAAACAGTGCTTCTGGAGAGAAGCTACTTTTTTCTACTTCTCCAAAACCGCTTCTGCTTCTCCTCAAAAACACTTTTTTTCTTTCCAAAAGCTTGGCCAAACACCTCAATTTTTGGCCAAAAGTGCTTTTGGCAAAAAAAAAAAAAAGCACTTTTGGCCAAAAAGAAGCTTGGCCAAACAGGCTATAAATAGCATTTCATATTTCACCCTACTCTCCACCCTTCTTGAACTCTTTGTTTTTTGCTTGGGGATAGCTGAGAAAGATTCGATGGTTATATATGTAGAAAATGTTTCCTATGTTGTAGATTTTGGACAAAGGAGAGCTGCAAGTTGCAGGAAAGGAGAGGGAATCACAGTTTTCAAGCCAGTTCAGGGATATTGCTACTATAGTTATGCAGAAGACAATCAACCCTGAAACTCAGCGTCCATATACAATTAGCATGATTGAGCGGCTGATGCATGAAATCCATTTTGCTGTTGATCCAAATAGCAGCTCAAAGAAACAGGTAACAGCTATAGTTATTCTTGCGAGGATTTCAAACTCGTTTTTTAGTTGTTTAGGTTTAATGTCCTGCAAATTGTTTATTAACTTCTGCAGGCACTAGAGGTCATTCGGGAGCTTCAAAAGCACTACCCCATTAAACGGGCTCCCATGAGGCTGAGGATACATGTACCGGAACAGAGGAGCCCTTCCGTGTTGGACAAACTGAAGGAATGGAATGCCTCCATTGTGTCAAGAGAAGAATCTGGAAGTCAGCACTCCATAGTAAGTGACATCTACATTTGGCGCCTCATACTGTACTAACTATTATTGGATGTTATCTTTATCCAAATGCTCTCCTACCTTCAGAATATTAAAGAAATCGAACAATAAATAATACTTGCACCGAAACATTTCATTCTAAATATATCTATCCTGGAGCTAAGACTAGTGATTTCTATAGAATTTGAGATCCCATCTCTTTCTGTTGGAAATACATGCATCTGATATCCCAAGTACAAATTCTTTTAATCCTATGAATTTGACAGGAATCTGATATACCGCAGAAGTAAATGCATCTACTTCCCTTATGCTCTGTGTGATTTTAAATCATTTATAATCAATCAACTGTGGTAGCATTGATGAGTCTTCTCCATCCACTTAATTCAAATTTACCTTTGAAAGTGAGCTCAATTAGAAGGAACAGCCGAGCTCGAAAAATACATTAGGAGAGGGAGAGAGAGAGAGAGAGAGAGAGAGAGAGGTAAGAAAAAAAACACGTATCAGATTTAATCCATTTCTCATGCCCTTTTGTGGCTCATTCTCTTGACTTCCGGTTATATGTATTTGTGGGTGTCAACGATGTTGTATGAGATCTTTTAGGTTGTTCATGTTATCAGTTATCATCCTTTTTCTTCTTACCATGATAAAAAAAGAAGAAGTTATCATCCTGTTTCATTAGTTCAGATTCTCGGTCCTTGAATGACGTGGCCAACTTCATTAACTGTCAGTTGTTAAATCATTTAATAATTGCTTTTGTTGCAGCATAATATCCATGTGGTTGATTCTATTTAACAACATGTGTTAGTGATACTTGGTAGACATAAATATTAGGTTCTGTTCTTTCTTATAGATCAAACATGAATATTGAATGTCTTTCATTAACAATTAGTTTACAAAGGCTAAAGATAATTGAAACTTGTCAACGGCTTAGAATATTTTAGGAATTGTTCAGTCAGGTCCGTGCATAGTCGTTTGTGGTAATAATTAGTTGCAATATTGTTAATCTATTCAGGACCTTGGTTGTTAGAGTTACATTTCCCTATGAACATTTTGTTATTCCTTTATGGTGAAGCCGTGAAGGCCATTGATCCAAGTTGACTTTAGAAGCCAGTTTCATTAAATATGGCCTAAACAGTGAGTATGAGGGTGTTTGAATTGGCTTAAAAACTGGTCAAACCAGCTTAAAAGCACTTTTGGCTTATTTTTGTGTTTGGCAGACACCGAAAGTGCTTTTAAGTCAAGACCATCCAAAATAAACCAAAAGCCATAAGTAGGATATTCCCAACTTATGGCTTTGTAGCTTTAGAGCTATTTTGGTTTGACCAAGTAGATCACCTTATTATCCCTTGCATGTTTTTGTATTTTCCAAAGTATCCCTCCTCTCACTAAAAGTCCTAACCTCATTTTCTTTCTTTTCCTTCTGCCATTTCTGGTTGTTACATCCTACAAGCCATAGCAGGTAACTCTTCCGGTTTACAGTTGTGTCTTTACCTGGGCAAGCACCCTGAAAAAAAATTGTTGCTACCAATGTAATATAACCGAGTTAGCCGAATAGTAGGTTATTGAATGCAATCAGAAATGCTTGTCATAGTGGGGTCAAAGTTATCTCGTTGCATGGAATTTTTACACTCACTATGAATAGGCATTTTGATGAGTTATAGCCCTATCATCTTTGATGGCGACCCAAACTAGTGTAAGGCAATACCATCCATATTTTTGTTTTTCTCATGATTGCCAATGAAAATTACGATGTTGAATGATTGTATTTTCTAAATATATTCTACTAGTTGTTTTGCTCCTTTTACTATTTCTTTCTTCTTTTTCTTCTTCAAACATTAAATGTTTCTTTTCTTTTTCTTCTGCTTAGTATGCAAGTTCTTTTCATCTGCTACTTTTGTTAGTCTTCTCTTTTTCTACTTTATTACTCTTTTTGGAAATGATTTTCTACTTTGTCATTATGGTTCTAAACAAATTAAATACAAATTTGAATGTTGCAAATGATTTTTTTTATGTTGATTAATCGAAAATAAAAATGTTTTTTGCATTGAAGTTACCTCTTTAGGGCCTTGTTTTACATTCTTTTGATGTGTAATTGAGTTCTTGAGTTAGTATTAGAGTTATTGTAGTTTTAATAGATTGTGTGCTCAGCTTTTCACTTTTCAGTTGAAGCCCCATGGGCGTCGTCGTTTCATTAGGCTTTTCTCTTGGAAAAAACACTGCTCCCTGTATTCTTGCTTATCAATAGAAGCAGGAAGCGTCAAGAGTAGCCGTTAGGTCTCACTTTTTCTTCCTTTATTCTTCTTCTCCTTTGAACCCACTTGAGCTTCATTCATGAAAATACCATTTTATTTATTCTAAAGCTTAATGAACTTCAACAAGCACAGTTTGTGCCATCTGTACAAGTCGAATGGTGTCGTCCATTAATAAGAATTGGAGGAACCTTTTGAATCCTGGTCACCAAACTAATGGGTGATGAGAATATGAATGCTTTGAGGTGGCCAAACTAATTTTGCATCGTATACTTAGGTCAAAACTGCACTTTAATATCTTTGATTGAGTGGACAGGCTTGCTCTCATGCGCTGTTAACTAGCACAGTTGCATTTGTTTGTTTCATGGTAATTAACTACCCGTCTACTTGTTGTGTTTCAGATTTGTGAGATTGAACCTAGTCTTTTCCGGGACTGTGATGCCTTGATCAGGAATTTACAGGGGAGGTTGGAAATTCTTGCAGTCAATGTACATGTGGAAGGAGATACCTTTGTTGATCAGTACGATGATCACGAGGACGAGCCATCAAGTTTACGGAAGGATTCTACAGGTTCTGTCCTTCAGCTGAGTGAGAAAATGCAAAAGCAGACCATTTCTTCAGAAAGTGGCAATTCTAGGGGAGAAGTAAAACTGAACAAACCTGCCACAACTGGGAGTTCCGAGGGTGAAGTAAAACTGAACAAGTGCACTACTTGCAACGCTGTTGTGGGAGATTCAAAAGAATACAGAGAGCATTTTAAGAGTGACTGGCATAAGCATAATCTTAGGCGAAAAACTAGGCAACTTCCTCCACTTACAGTGGAAGAATGTATGGCAGACCTGGAACTTGGAGACTCGAAGGCTGATCTTAAAGAATATTCATTTTAAGGTTGGAACAATTTTCCTTGGCGACAACCTGCATTTTATATGATTGAAGACATATATTCTACCTGGAAAGACTTGGAAGGAAAAATAATTTAGAGAAATGCTGGCGAAGAAAATTTACCAATGAGTGATTATTTTGAATTTTATCATATTTAACAATTGACAAAAGGTGAAAAAAAGACTATCTATATCACTTTCTTGTCTCTGCTCCTCTTTGTGTGCACAAAATGCCTTTATGTTGATGCCTCCCAGTAATCTTGAGTAATGTGTCTATGAATCTGGTGTCTATACTGGTATTGAAAATATCTTATGATATATCGGATGTTATGTCTTGGCTTAGTTCTTGAGGTTCATTTCTCCAATCGAGTTCTTTCCCATCTTGCTATAGTTTGAATAGCAACTCTTGTTCATTATCGCCTTGCTCAACCGGTCTTTAAGATCCAAGCGAGCAACTTGTTCAGTCGTGTCTGTAACCTGCAACACGTTCGCAAACATTACCAATCCTGTCAATCCTGTCCTACTTCTTTCTTACGTTCAAAAGTGCAGAACAAGAAGTTCCAGTCATACCGTTAAATTGGCTGATTAGTGATGTATTCTCATCAAGATGTGTGACCTACTCTTTCTCACAACTACACCTGAACAAATGGATGATGTAGCAGCTGAGCAGCCGTGGGCCGGCGTCTTGGATTCTTCTGCAGGCAAAGTTTCAGAAAACTCTTTGCATTATCTGAGAGGTTCCTGGGAATCTCAGGGCTGTCTTTGCCATCTGCCAGTTTGAATAATGCAGCTGCCTGTCAATCCCACATAAAAATTTGCACAATCCAGTTATATCATGATCCATAGTATTATTCTTTCAGAACAAACACAACCCCGATATTTGAGCAGGCTTTCTTGAAAAGAGAAATGGAACTGTTAAAATGAAAGTTGAGAAAAAAATTTGCGCATGTGTTATGTGTGTACTCCCTTTGTCCAAGTAGTCAAAAGGTTATATTTAGTCCTGGCATTTTTTGGGTAATTTCGTCAAACAAACGTTTTAGAGCTAAGGAAATATGTCATACTTCATATTGTCCCCATGGAGGTTTAGCTGTTGTAATCTCAAGAACAGTACAACCTAGGCTCCAAATATCTACAGCAACACTGGAACATCCTGCATCCTGTACTACCTGATATAATAGTATTTGGAAACAAGAAAGGTTTCAGGAAATAAGAAACAGAAAAAAGATGTTGGAATAAACCATTTAACAAATTCTTGAGAAAATTACCTCTGGAGCCATCCAATTTGAATTTCCTTTGAAAGAAGTCATCAAAGAACATGTCTTTATCTGAGATTGGAAAATCAAATATAAACACGAATTAAAATATCCTTTTTATAAAATGGAAATCAAAACTTGGGATTCTGCTAAAAATGATTACGCTTTTGGTTCATATATTACTGCTGCATATGTACATACATGTTTAGCCATTCCAAAGTCTGCAAGCTTGATTTCACCTTTAGCATTTACTAGTATGTTTGCTCCTTTAATATCTCTGCCAAGTAACAAATTACCTTTGAGCACAGTGTACAATACCAATATTGATCAAATATTCTTCTGATAATATCATTTAGCTTTATTTTTTACCTGTGTGCGATGTTTCTCTCGTGTAAGAAGATTAGTCCAGAGAGAATTTTTCGAGTGTAGCTGCTGATAATTTTTTCTTCAAAAGGACCATATTCTTCAACTAGTTTGAGAATTGATCCTCCAGGGACATACTCCAAGTAGAGAGACAATTTGTCTCCTCTCTGTAACAAGATTGTCAATTATCACTTTTCTTGTTCTATTTTTAATTAAGTATAATATTAAAAAACACAAAAGGGGTCATACCAATTCACTTCCATAGTATTGTACAATGTTTGGATGTGAGAATTGACTGAGCAATGTGATTTCCTGTTTAACCAAGAAATTCAGATTTGGTTAAAAAAAATATCATGAAAGACCACCTAAAATTGCTTGTTTGAGTATAAAATATACAGACCTGAGTCAGCTGCTTGAGACGTTCTTTTGATTTTATGTCATTGGAGACGATTCTTACTTCCTTTATAGCACACATTTGTCCATTATCGCTGTTACAGAAACAAAGTTATAGCTATTAGTTAGGTCTCACTTCTCCATTCTTTCATATTTTTCTTTGTTATTCTTCATTTTTTCTTCTCTATTGTTATTTATGCTCTTTGAGAAATGGTCCATTTTCATGAAGACATCTGAATTATGGCTTATGAAAGACAACCCGGTGCACAAAGCTAAATAGTAACATTGTCATTGATGAGCCCTCGAGCTATTCTGGTAAATTGGTACTATCAATATCTAGCTACCTTGAAGAACATAAACATGAAAATATTTAGTTTATACACATTGACATCGTATAGATTTTTACATGATTAACATAATTATTATTATAACAATTTAATTATTTTTATCAGGGTACAAGTAAAACTTATCATAAAGAATAAATAGTTTTGACACTATGAAGCATAGAAGTTGAAGCAAAGATGTAAAATAGGATGAGTGGAAGTCATGAGATACCTATTAAATCCAGCATAGACATGCCCAAATGTTCCTCTTCCTAACAACTTTCCTTTCTTCCATTTGGACTCAAGAGCTTGCCCTACTGATTTAGCACAAGAATTTGGGGGAAGTGGAAGAGGAAGAGGATGGCGCGGATGATTACAACTTTCTTGTTTTCCAGTGGGAGAATCCAAAATCTTTCCCCATACCAATATTGGATATGTTGGTGAAGTACAAGGCGAGGTAGACTTTGAACTCTCATTGTATTTATTTCTGTTCAATTTTCCATAATATGTTATGTGAAATGAAGAAGAAGATAACTTACCCTCTACAGAAAAAGGCAATAACAAGAGGAAATATTCAACAAATTAACCTGAATGGACTAAATGACAAGTGGTCTTGAGCTAGTTCTTCGTCATCATTGAACTGATCAGATGAAGTAGAGGAAGATCCACTACTTGATCTTGTAGAGAAATGAGGTGAATCCAATGGTAAAGGCAAAGGAAGAGGACAAAGTTTTTTTTCTTTTGTACAAGTGTAGGAATGAGGAACAGAGGATGCGGAATAGTAACCATTATTAGCTGCAAAAATTGTTGGAGAATTTTGGGGTATCAAGATGGATTCATCAAAGCTTTTTGGCTTCTTTTCTCTGTTCTTCTTCTTATTCTTGTAATTTCTTGGAGGAGTTTCTATTTCTTTGGGTTGCTGAAGTGCGTGTCTTTCAAACCAAGAAGCCATTTGATTTTCAAGTGTGTATCAAAACATGGAAGTTTTTGCTCAAGTTTTGAAATGTTTGGGTATATAAGAGCATGCTAAGGCGTGTACAAGCGTGTGTTCNGGTGTTAAGATATCATAGCTGAGTTTGTAGGTTGCATCAATAGTTGGAGACGGCTGCACCCAAGGAATAAGGATGTACTATATCGGGTAAAAAATCACGAGAGATTAAGGTTTAAATTTTGTTGAGGTAAAAAAATGTTAGATAAGTTTTTCTCATTTACTAAAGTCTTGGCATCTAAGTTACTTAATATTTGTAGTGATAGGAAATAACATGTATCCAGTAGAATAATTAAGATGCGCTCAAACTGAACCAAATATTTAATAATAGGAAAAAAATAAATAGTTGGGGCCGGCTGCAATGTTAGTAAAGATAGTTGAAGTTGACGCCAATTGTGGATTGGGAGAGGGATTGAGGGGTTGGGGCATAGAGAAGGGACAAATACTTGCCCCACAAGTTTGGTTGGGAATGGAGGTGAATATTTTTCTGTCTACTCTTTGAATATCTCACCAACTTAACAGAGAAAACAAGAACATAGTTCACTGATTATTACAAGTATTTTTCTCGAGGTAAGGTATAAGGAATAGGAAGGGAAGCTTCACTCGAGTCCATATCGTCATTAAATACGTCCTGTCCCTAGTATAAACTCCCATATTTCATATCTTATTAGTATTAGAAATTTTCTATGCTTGACTAACGCGTTGACAGCCCGAGAGCTGGAGTGAACTCTTGCAACCACATCAAAACTTACATAAACAATTAGGAGGTGGGAGTGTCACTTAAAAAGGCAGTATGGTGTTCAAGCTTCCGTTATGCGTGGTATCGAGTAGAGCGCAATTATATTGCGTCTGATGTACGCGTCCTTATCTTGCATCCAGTGACGGAAGCAAATATTTACTCATAAAATGATACAGTTGAATTTATAACGTGGTTTATAGACACGTGAATTGATTTGACCCAGAATATTGAAATTAATAAGAACAGAAATAAGATTATAAAATAAACTTAAAGGAAATGCAAGCCTGGCTTATGAATTTAGCTTCTCCAGTAGCAGAAGAGAGAACAATCTTAAGAACAAAGCAAAAGAATAATATTATAGTTAGAGAGCTGATTCAACTATTCAAGCTTTTTAGTACAGAACGTTTCATGTCTTACAATGGATGCTAATTCTCCTATACCTTTATTTAGGGAGACAAGATCCCCAAATCATGTTTTTCTTAAATGAGAATGAAACCGTCACTGATGACTGCATAACGATTGGCTATAAATGCAGATATTCTCTGTAACGGCTGCTCATTGAATGCTATCTGATATCACCCCTTGAAATCTTTGTTATCAGTTCCCCTGTCTTCTACACAGCACAGGTCACATGTTTGTATCCGGTATCAACTAATTGCTAACTCACATCTTACTATTCTTCAGTTCCACGTGCCATCTGTCACTAACCAATTTTACCGCATACATATAGTCCCCCTACGTTTTGGTAGCAACTTAGTGTTATCAGGAAGTAGATATGACCTCTTTTCTTGGCGGGAAAGTTCCTGAGCTATTTTTGACACTTGAAAGGATGCATGTCTCTTCAAATTTAATGACATGAACATATGTTATCCTGTGATTCGGCAAATATTTCTGTCGGTTTTCTAGATAATCATGACCACGATTTTTACCATCTATAAACTTCTCCACTACGTATCACTTTTTCCTTTCACTTTTACAAATCCTTCTTCTTCCTTGATTCCCCTTGGAACCCTACTACAAAATTCATCTTTTTCAGCCAAAATCCCCTTACTCAAATTTCTCACCAACATGTCTTCTAACATTGTTGTACTCGAAAACTCTGGCTTTTTCTTCGGTGGAGGCCCTAAAAAGAACAAAAACAAAGAAGTTGATGTTGAATCTGAACCTCCTATTGTGAACACCATTATTTCTCTCCATCTCGATTCTCAATTAGAACTTCAAGTCCAAAAAGAACCTATTAATCCCAAAGAAACAGACACTGGCCTGTTAGCAGGTGCCCTTCTTCTATATGTATTTCTAGCATACCCGTCGTGAAGAGAGACTGTGATTGGCAAAACATCGAAATCTTAGCCCCTAATGAGGTGGAAATGGTCACCTTCTCCAAACCAGGGTTCATGTATGTTTACACATATCCCTTCACCTTGGAAACACGTAAAGAAATTGACCTCAAAATTTTGCCGTCGGTACCAAATCTGCTTAGCACAAGTAGGTCCTTCAATATGGCGTACAGTGGTCTGCCTCCGAAAATTTTGCTCTGAGACAGGGGAAGGGAAACCCTAACTCTCGCATATATGATTAACCTCTACTCTCCAAAGATCTTCCGTGGGGAAGTACTAAACCTCAACAAATATTGCCACCACGCACTGCTTACTAGTGTTGATGATGACAATGATTGTGGCTGGATGCAACGGTTCGTTGTCATTTCCATTAGAGATATTCTCCCTATAACAACACCCGCTATTCTTGAATTGTGAAATCTTCTTCATAAGTCTTCAATCATCTTTTCTTTTCCATATTTAAAAAGACTTTCCTCCTTCGTTAACTTTGTATTTTTCTTATTCTAGCTACTTATTGGGGACCGCCACAAGTTCATAATTTGGCTTAATAGGTACAGAAAATTTGAATATTTCTACACCAGAATCTCGAAGGTGGAAAGAAATGACTAATCTTGTCCATGTCACACCTCTATTTAAGGTTATGAAACGGTCGATGCAATAATAATACCCAACAAGGAGTCAGGGAGCTATGAATGGGACTTAAGAGTATATATTGTAGTGTATGGGCATGAATTATCTCAATTTACACTTCCACAAATTTGGGTTGTTTCTAGGTCTAATTTCAAACTAATATTGCAAAGCTAAGAAATGAAACTAGGAAATTATTTTTGGTTGTTTTCAAGTTTTATAAAAAGCCAAGGGCTATGACCTTAATGCTTGTTTTGTTGGTCGGGGTGTATTATAGCTATCAACACTCAATTACCCACTCAATACCTCTCGGTCAGAGAGTGATTTTGCCCAATTTGGCTTTTTCAAGTCCAAATGATTATTGCACAAAACGGTTGATAAATGCTCAAGTCGGGTTATTATTATCTCTAGGTTGAACCCTTTAATTGGGATTATCAATCTCTCGATTGACCCAATTTCTTATTCGCCAAGTTTTCCTAGACTAAGTCTCTCTTTCTCAAGTAGAGATTAAGTCAAATATGCATGAACTAATATTTACAACCATTAATTCCACAAATTAAAACATGAACAAGGCTAAATAATAAACACCAAACCATAAACAAGCACTAACTCAAACACCCATAAGGCTTACACACTAGGGTTGGGTCACAACCCTAGTAAAGGTCTAGCTACTCATGATTGTAATTGAAGATAGAGAAGAAGAGATGATAATTAAACTCATATTGCAAAACAAAAATGACAAAATCTATGTTAAAATAAGCCAAAAGATGAAAAACTACCTAAAGAATTAAAGAGAAAAAGCTACTGTAGATGCTGATGTCAAAAGTTAACCTGAAAATGTAAAACTCGTATATTTATACAGGGCTGGAAATTTTGGACAAAAATGCCTTTCGGAGGTTCTGCAGCCGCACAATTCCATGTGCGGTCCGCAGTTTGCTTCCGCTTGACAGGATTGAAACTCAACGGTTGCATAATTCTGGACTACGATCGTACTGCACTCTTTCTGCGGTCCGTAGATTTGTAACTACGACCACACCTTGCTCTTCTGTGGTCCGCACAATATTAACTGCGGTCACATAGCTCTTCTTCTGCGGCCTTACAATAATTGTGTGGTCCGCACTTTTGATGGTCTTGAAATGCAGACTCTCTGAACTTTGCTCCTGACCCAGCTTCTGTGGATGCATAATTAATGTGCAGACCACACTTTTTAACTTTTTTAGCTAGCCCTTCCTTCTTACTCTGCGGCCGCAGATGATATTCTACAGTCTGTACTTTTGAGCTTTTGTGCCTTTTGTGTCCTTGAGTTTAGATTACTCCTTCTTGAGTTGAATTTTATTTCGGGAGTTCACTTTCCAATATTCCTACAATTAAGCACATTTCATCAGTTTTGGGGAACATAATTGAACACTTTTAGACTAAAACAAAAGCTAAAAGGTGCGAATAAGTATCAAAATCCCTACTTATCAACCCCCCCAAACTTAAGTCTTTGCTTGTCCTCAAGAAAATAAAATAGTTCCTACCTCCAAAAGTTAAAGGACATTATAGCAGCCATGGGTGAATCATTTACACCTTAGTTGGGACCAACAATTACCCATACCACTCATGCATTATTGACAAGGCAATAAGTTAAACTTTTATGCACATATAGCTCTATTGTGATATTCGAGCATCAAGGGTTGTCTTAGCTCATCAAGGACTTCCGTTCTACCTTGTATGTCATGGTGGATCCCAAACTCCTCCTCCTCTACTCTCCATTTGCCAAGCTCACTTAAGAATTTATCACTCAATTCAAAATTATGAAAGGTTCACTCATCTCTCTCAAGAGAATACTACAAGCACGACTTTCGATATCATAAGCTTGCCCCTCATGTAAATCACCACTAATCTAGCCCATTCGGCTCGAAATCAAGTAGCGCTTCTTTTGGGATGTAATGAAAGCTTTTGGATTAGGGATTGATACAATATGGATAAGTGGTTACACCTTTCTTAAGCACTTTCATTTAATTCCCAGCTCACACTTATACAGATTCTTTAGGCATTTTATTTTCCTTGGGGGACTAGAGAGACTTAACATCACTCTTTATTAATCATTTCATTCATATTTCTCCATGTTTGGGATCATTGCCTTTTCTCTGAATCCCTTCAACTCTTTCATTTATTCATTTTTTTGCATTTTTCTTTTTGTTATTTTCTTTTCTTTGACTTTCCTTCTCGTCATTCCTTTTTCTCCTTTTGTGACTTAATACCTTCTTTCAATTTCCTCACCTCTCCCTTAGACTTACGTTTTTGCCAATTATTTCACAAGAGTGTT